TATGCCTTGGATATGAGTAATTCAAAAAATGATTTAAAAATTTCAGTGCAATATACTTAAGAAACCAGTGTGAGTATCAAATGAAAGAGAAGATTCTGTCGAGTTAATTCACATTGCATTTTTTGGTCCGTAAGGGACGGGTAGGTATTTTATAATTTTATCCTTAAATATCCTTGAAATTTTTCAATTCTTATTTGTGAAAAAATTATATGTTAAGGACTAACTTTATTAGCTTAAAAAAATAAAATAGATTAAAGGGGCATTTTCCATTCCTATTCGTACTTGTGAACCCAAAAAAATTGTTTCATTTGGTACCCATAATTTTTTTTTACATTGCACTGAATTTTTTCGTTTTGATGCAGAAATGCATCTACATGCATCAAGGAATATTTCTGCATGAAAAAGAAAATTTTGAAAAAAATGTCGCTTACGTTATTTTGGCGGTTAGGGCTCGATATAGTCTTTTAAAAAAATCATGACGTCAGAGAAATACTCATTTATACATATGCAGTTAATTATGTGTAATATGAAGTAGACTTTTATAAAAAAAAATTAAATTTTGGATAAACAAAAGGAATATAGACAAAACTGGTAAAATTAAGGCGCTTCTTTTATTTCTGCCATCTTGAATCATGTAAATCGGGTGTTATAAGCAGGCATGGGCAGAGAACGAGCACACGCTCAAAGAGCATAACCATCACGTGTACGTATACAAGCAAGACGTAACGATGAGAACGCGGCAGCATGCAAAATGAATTAGGCACACTAACACATTCTCACTTTTAGCGATCGCTTGTTTGTGGTAGTGCCCACCTCTGCTTATAAGCCCCACAAATAATTCTTTTATTAGTGTGAATTGCACTTACACCCGATTTACATGATTCAAGTACTTTAAAGCAATTCTTGCTGTTGTTGCTCATTCTCTTTTGGGTTTTCTATTTGCTTTTACACGCTTTAGTTTTGTTGGATTCAAGTTTTTGGTTCTTTAAATGGGAAGAAACTAAAATGCCAAAAACAAAGCAAGAAAGTTGAAACGACTTGACCGTACAGACGCATGTGTACTCGTCCCTTTTCTTCTCACCCCCTCTCTTCCACATGCGAGCAGAATTGAATTCAATACTTGAACTGTGTAAAAGCAGTCTAAGTATCATGCATTTTTTCTTACTGGCAAATAGTTACTAGCAAAAATTTATCCAGTTGCCCTCTTTTGCTAGTTTCTTGTTAGAGCTGTCAAACTATCGATAGTCAAGTCCATCGATGTTTTACGATAGTCTTAAGGGTGACTATCGATACTATCGATAGTATCGACCCATTTCATATGTTTTTCTAAATCCATTTATTTTTCGTTATCTTGCTTTTATATTTTTTTTTATTTTAGCGGCTCACGGTTGCATTTAGTATCGAGAAATATTGCTAGAAATTCATTCGCCGTGTAAACAGTCAAAAAGCGATTTCAGAAATTTTCCCTGCAATTCGTCTTTCGGAAAAAAAAAAAATTTCTTTCGAAAGACACTTTACATGCAAGGTGCCACTGCTCATGCAACTGCTTTCTGCAATTTCTCAATTTGACAGTATGGGTGCGTTCAGAAATGCATCAAGCTAAAGCATCAGTATCTTTTATTTCTACACTATAATTGATGGAAATGTCTTATTTACGCAACTAAGTTCCAATTCGGCTTATAACCGTGGTTGCGCATATTGGACATTTCTATCAATTATAATGGATTGGCGCTTACACATATGTTAGTGTTTGGCCGAGCTTCTCCTCCGACTTGTGGCGTGCGCCTTCATGATGTCACCTGCAGTTTTACGCCGACTCCGAACGGCGATTGTATTTTTATGAGAAGCTGTTTTTCACGGCAGAAATGGAGGTTTGCCATTGCCTGCCGAGAGACGGCCGCTGTTAAGAAAAAACCTTTTTTTCAATTTTTTTTTGCGATGTTGCTTTGGCCAGGGCTTGAACCCAGGTGCTGATGAGTGAAAGCGCGCACTGCTTACCACTACACCACAGTGGCCGCTGTCAATTATAGTTTAGAAATAAAAGAGACTAATACTTTGGCTTGATGCATTTCTGAACGCACCGTCTTTTGAAATATACTGCATTGCCCGGTCTGACACGCTCTTAAGACGGCAATATATCCTCGGCTATTTCCACGCTTAAAATAAAAAATGGCGCTTTTAGAAATAATGCCATGAACCAACTAAACAGATCACCCAGCACGGCAACCGCGTAAGTTATATTATAGTTATAAACAATACTGTTTCCGTTTGTTACTGTATTTCTGTTTATGTTAATATTATTCAGCAGTATTTGGAAATTATTGTTAATTGAATTTTAATATTTGTCATAGTTTTTCTGTTCTTAAGAAAAAATCGAATAGAAAGGTCAAACTTTACTTCAATAAAAATTATTTTCATAAAGCTTTAAACCTTTTATTGAAAATTAGTTTACTGGCGACGAGGATGGGATACGAACCCACGCGTGCAAAGCACATTGGATATATTAAGGGGAAGGAAAATACTGTAGCAGATTTTTTAAGTAGAGTTCCAATTAATCAAAGTTCATTAAGTAGTATCCACAGTGCTCAAGAAGATTCAAACGAACATTTTGTTATAATAGATTCAATTGTTAATAAATATCGAACTCAAATAAGATTACTCAAAAACAAAGACAAAGAAACTGAATTGCTTTTTAATAAATATAAGATAGTATATGTTGCAGAGGGTGATTTAACTAATGAGCGTTATTTAAATGATTTATTTAGAAGGGAATTAAGAAAAGGAAAGATTGGAATATATTCAGAACTTGAAGATGATAAATATAATATTATACAATTAAAATTAATCGAACTTTTTTCAAATGACAATAATCTAAAATTTATAAGGTGCTCAAAATTAGCTGAAGATATTGATTCAGAAGAATTTCTATTGACTATTATTAATGATCTTCCTTTAAAAGGCAATCATAGAGGCGTTCGAGAGAATTTTGAGGAGTTAAAAGGTTCATATTTTAATCCCAAATTGTTTAAATATATAAATAGATACTGTAATAGTTGCAGAATTTGCATAGAAAACAAATATGATCGAAAGCGGATAAATAAGCAATTTAAACATACTTTAACTCCTGATAAGCCTAATGCAATAGTACATTTAGATATTTTCCAAATTCAAAAAACCTACTTTTTAACAACGACTGACAAATTTACAAAACTAGGTACGGCTCACAAGCTTAGTGATAAAAATATGGTCAGTGTCACAACCAAAATTGAGGAGAGAATTGCATTTTTAGGAAAACCGGATAAATTAATAATGGACAATGAATTTAATAATGCATTAATAAATTTTTTTTGTCAAGAAAATAATATAGAATCTTATTATACAACACCAAATTCTCACACTGGGAATTCAGATATAGAGAGAGTGCATTCGACGCTTCTTGAACACGTCAGAATCTTAAAAAATGGCAATAACATTAATGATGCAGAAGAGCTGGTTCTTAAGTCGATAAGCTTCTATAATAATACTATTCATAGTACAACAAAATTAAAACCGATTGTTTTTATAAATAAATTAGATATAAATTTTGAAGAAATAAAAATAAGAACAGAAAATAAAAAAAATTAATTAATTGATAAAATAAATATGAAAAGGGAAAATATAAATTTGGAATTAAATAAACCTAATTTATATACTAAAAATCCAGCTGCAAACAGACAGAAAACTGCCAAGAGATTTAATAAATATCATTATAGTAATCCTAACAAAATAGATGTTGCCCAATTTCGAAGACCCTTAAAATCAATAATTTTATAAAAGAAAATAATAAATTTATTATATAATTTAATTATATAAATCAATAATCATAAAATAAAGGAAGGAAAACTATATGTAAAAATATTTGAATTATATTGTTGGAAGTTTTCATATTTAATATATTGATTTCTACTATTAATTTACTTAAAAATCTTATTAATATTCCATGTTTTAAAATTAATTAGCAATTATTAATTTTGTTTTTTTTTTTAATAAATAATGTATATGGTTCGATGGGACTCGAATCTCAGGGAGGGACGAGTTATATTATAGTTATAAACAATACTGTTTCCGTTTGTTACTGTCATATATGTAATACTCCTATATTGGCAGTAAGAGCTAGTACCGTCCGAAAACACTACAGTACAGATATATCAATAAACACGTACTAAAGAAAATGAACACATACCCCTACAAGAATTGTGTGATGGAAACTAACACATTCTCATTTATCTTACTAACACATTTGCAAATTTTGCGTTGGTTAAAAAGAGACCACTAAATAAGGCCATAAGTTGGAGGAAAACGGAAGATCACATGTACACAAATGTTTACGTCACGTTTTGCATATTGCTCTTAAAAGTTGATAGAAGTGCTTGATTGAGATCTCCATCACCAGTGATTATCACATGATCGATCAAATGACTATCACTGTTCTTGTAGGGACGTTTATAAATAAACATGTACACAACACATTTACAAAAACGGCACTCAAGTACACAATACATTGACAAAAACGGTACTAGACTGTCTTGCTTTGATTTCGGAATGCTTACACATTGAGAAGTTAGCTTACTGCCAATATAGAAGTATTACATATATGGTTACTGTATTTCTGTTTGTGTTAATATTATTCAGCAGTATTTGGAAATTATTAATTGAATTTTAATATTTGTCATAGTTTTTCAGCTCTTAAGAAAATATCGAATAGAAAGGTTAAGCTTTACTTCAATAAAAACTATTTTCATAAAGCTTTAAACCTTTTATTGAAAATTAGTTTACTCGTATTTGGAATTGTATTTGAGAAAAAAATAAAAAAAAACGTCATTTCTTAATCGGTAGTTTCATTCACACGCATTGTTTCATTCACATTGCATATCGATAGTTATTTCAAGTGACCAGACTATCGATACCATCGATAGCATCGTCCATAATTTGACAGCTCTATTTCTTGTAAGTTTTGGCGTACGAAAACGACATCCTGTAAAAACCAGTAAAATTATTACTGGATGGTGCGTACGCAAACAGGCCTAAGGTCTCATTGGGAGACACCAGGATTGAGTTGTGTATGTCAATGCCTAAATACCTTCGTTGACTTATTGACCAGAACCATTGGCACCCCTGCAAAAATCGCGACTACTCCATGCATGCGTGTAAAGAGTACTCCCTAAGGACCAAGGAGTACCCCAAAATTAACCACAATTCATATAAAAAATATGGTCCAATTAACATTGCGATGTCCTAGGGCAAGACCATATACTCCATCCCCGCATTACATCAGAGTAGCACAAAACTACTCCAACATAATAACAATGGCATTGTTGCTATATTTTTTCGTTTGTACACGTTTGTGTTCTTCACTTCTCAAATACTTTTTCGAAATTAATTAAAACCAAGACAAAAATTAAAAATTATATGTTGCCTCTGACGGTATTCGAACCCGAACATGCTGGGAGCTAAGAACTAACAGCGAGCATCTCTACACGTACAGCTACAGCCAGACATGCAAATGTGCTTTCAAATGCTCAACTTCAATCACGTTTCGTTAAAACACGAGCAGTGATCGGATAACAAACAATAAGCTAGCGCAGAGACACCAGTTGGTCCGCTACAGCATGACAGAGGAACACTTTTGTAAGTACTCCAATTTACCACAAATAGACTACATGATCCAACGATTTTTGCAGGGACCTTACTTTACAGCAACTTTGCAGAATCAATTGGTCCCCACGAATGTCGACAAATTCAACTATTCGGCATTTAAAGAAATGTCGTTACCAGCGGATGAACAAAAATTTTTTCAAATTTAAAAAGTAAAAATTTCACTACTAAAAATATAAAAATTTTCTTAAAGCTTGCAAAGAAATTTGGAAAAGATATATTAATGTATTTGCTTTTAGGAGTAAGGTAAGAGCGTAGCTGATAAAATTGAGTGAGACCGAGTCTTACATACAAAACCTTTCATTATTGAATCGTGGCCGAAGTGGAACTGAGCGGAGCTCGGAGCCAAATAAAATATTTATTTATTTATTTATTTGTTACAGTCTTACGACTTAATAATACAACTATGATATTCGTACATACATATGTATATGAATTGTGATGTTCTTATTGCAAAAATTATCGGCTAATTAGCCTTCCAACTTTGCATAATAGAAGAACTTCTCAGGCTATCGCATTTTTATTGGGTATTATTTCGAGAAAAGTTGAGTGCCCGGCCCTACTTGAGAGAATCCATTTTTATGTTCCTAGCCGTAACTTGCGTCGTTTTGACGTGTTTAAGGTTGGGCTAAGTAGAACGGTTTATGGTGCAAACGCGCCAATAAACAGAACCTTATCAGACTTCAATCACTTTTCAAATTTTTTAGACTAATGGCCTTATTCATAAAAAATAAAGTAGGTTTAAAAAGCTTTATAAAATGACGTTTTCATACATTTTTCAGTTTATAAACCTTTTTTAAAGCTACTTTATTTTTTATGAATAAGGCCAATAGACTTTACCAATACTAGAGCAACCACATTAGAATTGGGAAGATTTCTTATGTCCAGTCATTAAGATCATGTACATTTTGTAATTTCTAATGTTTGAAATTCTAGATTGGGTTTTTGAATTCTTTCATATGTAAGTAATTCTTGTAAATTAAATTTTTAAGTAGACAATTTAGCATAATGGCAGATAGTTATATTTAATATTCTGCTTAATGTCTGTTTTAACTATAGTTAGTTGTTAGACATAAATAAATAAATAAATAAATATAAAATTATGTATACAAAAACTATATATATTATATTACATATGTCTATATTGGGCCCCATGAATAAAAATATGCAATTGCCCCCTCCAAAAAGTTCCGACCTTCCACTTACAATTTATTTGAATAATCGAGTACAAGGTCGGAAATTCCAAGAAAACGCAATTGCAGTTCTCAATCATACTGCAGAGCAGGCAAACTAGACAAGTCGTCTGAACAGGCAAGTTCCAGGCCGTATTGCTAGGGCCCTTCCCCTTCTCATATTATTGCTTCAGTTGTTAGGGCAGTTGTAAAGGACCGGAGCGGAACGATGAAAAAAATCCTTTTCTCCAAAGGCCTGGCCTAAACTTCAGTTTGAAACCTAATTTTATCATTTTCGGTCACTAATTTATTAATAATCTTCCTCTCCGGCAACACCGCAAAAAAAATTCTTCTTAGTAAGGATAAGTTTTGCGCAAAAATACTGTGGTCAATGTAGCCGGAGTTGGACTGATGAGGTTAGTTTTTTTTTTTAAGCGTGGACGAAGGCCGCCAACAAGTTTACATTTTTTGTGTCTGTGGAAGGCTTTCGAGGAGTCAGGTATCACTTTTGAAAAAATTTGAACTGTGCTAGTGGGCGGGATATCAATAGCCACCCCACCTTCCGCTCCGAACACTAACCCAAAAACAGTGGGAAACTAACTAAACATTGCCCCAAAAAAGGTGATAATTTGGAATTTTTTAATCCCTACCAAAACCCGTGTAAGAGGTACCCGTACTAAAACCCGGGGAAATCTTTAGCTATTTGTACAACGATTTAGGCGTGCGGGGCGGAGGGGGAGGGGGCGTGACTCCCCAAACCCCCCCTAAACGAAGGATGATGAACGCCGCTTTATGAAAAGTCATCCCTCACCCCCCTCCCGCCCTAAAGACCCCTTGGGAGCTGTTTGAAAATAGGGGAATTTTAGATTTTTTGCAAGAAAAAACAACAAAGTTAAACTTGCGTCCGAAGAAGGGGGGCTGAACACCTTTTGCAGAGAACACCTTTCTTCGTAGGCGGCCTTCGGCCGCGCTTATGGATTATAACCCTTACTACGTAGAATTCTCCTTTCCTAACCTTGGGAAAGGATGAGGTAACTAGAATTCCCTTTCTGTGTGGTAAACCTGGGGCTACCGCCCCAGTGATGTCTATTTTGGTTACTGGGTGTTTTATAAAAATATCTTGTATATAAAAATGTATATACAAATTTATAACAAAAATTTGCAACAAATACCATATTTCCAACCGACATTATTGTTAAATTAGTGCAGATTTAGTAAATTAAATTTTTGTAATAAAGCGTGAACTGTCGTCTACAAGTGTGTGGAAAAGTTTTTTGATTCGATTCACGCGTTTGCGCACAGCAACCCAAAATCGTTGTACAAATTCATAAAGAGTACCCAAAACCGGTATTGTGTGCCAATACTTTAACCCGTATCGGTACATGATCATTTTTATGGTGTCCTATAGTCACTCCATACAAAAAATTACTCTCATTAGTCCAACACCGGCTACGACATCTACAGTATTTTTGCGCATACCTCCTATCTACGTTGACGGACCGGGTATGCCACCCACAGTACTTCTACGAAGAATTCCTTTCAGGGACAAGGGGAAATGAGGTATGCCATTAAAAAGTTTCGTCTGTTTTTCTCTTATTTCAGTAGGGGCAGATGCAGCGGCTTTTCCACAACATCTCTGAAGCGACAAACAGTACTACAAAATTCTTAGTCCAACCCTTAATATCCCTTAGGATTTCATTGAAGCTCCACGAGACAAGGCTTTATATTGAGCATTAGCGTTACACGCCTCAATCATGTAAATCTAGACTTAGTGCACCTATAGCTTATAACGTGGGGAAAATTATATTCTGTGAACTCCTTATTTAAGATCTTAAATAAATGAAATCATAATTCCACCACTTACCTTGTTGATATTGTTTGCGATCGTTAAACTAATACAAGAAAATTGCGACAAAAAGAAATGTGAAAATTAAACTCGCAAAAACAGCTGATCGTAGGGATAAAACGATATTAGTAAATACAAGTACATACTCGATACTTTTCGTCCGATACCAAGTAATTTTGGAATCGATACTTTTGAACCGAGTACTGAGTAGGTATCGGAAGAAAGTAATAGCTCTGATCCAGTACTCCATGAACTTACAGGATTTTACACGAACTTACAGGAAAAATGTTCCCGTACTCCGAAATCCTCCAAAATCCTGTAAATGAGAGCGACTTTTGGAGAGTTGTGTAGAGAATGAAGTTGCAAGATTTTAAAGTCATGAAAAGTGTCAAACCATCACTGGTTGACGTTTTTACAGGAAAAATGGTCTTTTTGTTCCCGTACTTTTTGTAGTTACTCACTTTTTACTCTCACTTCAGAGAGTAAATTTGCTGTTTGACAGTTTTACAGGATTTTTCACGAAAACTATTGGATCAGAGCTAATGTTACGATTATCCTCGAAACCTTGAGGGATTTCTCAAATAACTTCCGGCTCGTATCGCTGGATTATTAAATAAATGCTCACGATGACCAAATTGTTGTACAATTAACTTTATTGTACAACAAACAATTTACAATACTCACTAAGGGTACTCTTTAGTACGTTGTCGGTCTATTTCGAGGTATTGCGTCCAAAGGGGTGACCCGATCCAAAAAAAATTTGCACACACTTCTAATCAAGGGTATACACATTATTTTAACACCCACTTTTGTTATTTTTGATTACTAATTTATTTATAAATTGGGTTTGAAATATGCCCTTTTTTGCAAAATACGCGGGAAAATTTTCCAATACGGAACCCGGCTTTAAAAAAAAAACAAAAATGAGGCGGTTTAGAGCGGCTTTTTGTGATTATAAATCTGAAAACCCCACCCTCCGGAGGCTTATAGTTTTTATGAAAATTGGATTTTAAGTTGCAAAAAATGTCAACTTCAACCTCACTTTTTGCTTTGTAAACCAATTGTACTACAAAGCCGGTGCTGCCACACAACCAAAAATGCCCAAAAAAAAAGCACTGAAAACGAGAAACAATAAAAACGGGCATTGTAATTAACTTTTTTTTAAATTAAATATCGATGTATTGAGAAAAAAAAAGTGATTCAGTCTAAAATCGAGAGATTTTGTAATAAAAATGTTAACTTAGTTATTTATTGAAGTATTGATTTTTATGGGAAAAGCGGCGCAGGCGAAAATTTTTAATAAAACATCGCGCGATTTTTTATTAACAATTTTCATTATTTATCGAAGTATTGATTTTTATGAAAAAAGCGCCGTAGGCTAAAATTTTTAATAAAAAATCGCGCGAAGTATTGATTTTTATGGGAAAAGCGCCGCGGGCGAAAATCGCGCGATTTTTTATTAACAATTTTCATTATCAAATTAACGATGTACTTTTTCTACATTTGTGTACTTTTAACTATAATAACACCAGTAAATATTATTTCCCCCTGCTCATGGGTCCTCAAATCCATAACCAAACGAGCAAAATTCCATTCTCCGCCTTTAAGCAAATCCCTTGCGCTGGTGCTTGTGGAAGGACGTTCATCTAGAAGCAGAATCATTGCATTTATGAACAATTTTCATATACGAAAATTACTTAACAGCCATTTAAAATCACAAAAATATGTTTGCAGCATTCGAAACAAATAATGCGTATAAATTTCGCGTACAAAATGAAATACACCGTTTTACTTAGAAATAGAACCATAACCAACACCCGAAAGAAGCCACAGGGACAGTAAATAAATATTTGCCATGGAAAGGTTTATATTTTTAACGCTTACTGGGTTATATCTTATCTTCTTTTGTTTCTCATTCTTTTGCATATTTTGGAGTTCGACAGCTGAACTCCGCCATGTAATTTGCATAGGCAACCAAAGTCAGACGCGTGATTTTGAAGGTGTTTTTATTAAATGAATTGTGATGAATTGGTTAATATTATGGGCCGGTTGCTCAAAGCCTGGTTGACACTAATCCCCGGTTAAACATCGTTATCGACGTTACCGACACCATGTTATTTGCATGGAGCCGAAAACGTCGATAACGATGTTAATCGGTAATTAGGGCCGGTTGTTCAATGTCTGATTAGCACAAATCGGAGGTAGAAGCTCCGGTTAAGCACAACTACTGCTTTATCGATCACATGTTACATGCATGATGTCGAAATCGTCGATAGTGTAGTGGTAGGGATAACCAGACATTGAACAACCGGCCCTTAGGGCCGTTTGCACCATGTCTAGTTAACGCTAACTGGAGGTACATCCTTCAGTTAAGCACGTTAACTGCTTTATCGATCACATGTTATATGATGGGTGTCGATAACGTCGATAAAGATGTTTAACTGGGAGTTAGAATTAACTAGACATGGTGCAAACGGCCCTAAGTGTCAATCAGGCTTTGAGCAGGCGGCCCTAAAGTCATAAAGAAAGTTATAACTAATCGAGTGAAGTGTATAGAGAAGGGGAATATAAAAATATATTGGTGAAGTGACTGCTTTAAGTAGAATAGGAGTGATAAATGTACGCTAATTTGCGAATTTGGCTGAGATTTCCATTACGGAACCAATTGCTATTCCGTGCAAAGTATAGTGAATTTGTTTATGAAACTCGGTGGGGATACTAATGGAGGTCACCTTTAACTATATTTATCACTTTCACAATGTTGTTGCTAATAGTACTTAAGTTATTTGTTGTTAAAATATCCCGCCTGCTATCACAACATTTTATTATAACTCCACACCTATCACGCGTTTTGGCCCCCTTAATAACAATCCGGAGGGGGGGGGGGGACTAATATTATTAACCATTT